TTTACCTACAGTTTGGAAAAATATATACAATGAGTTTTCATGTCAATTTAGTCCTCACATATCACTTACCTTGTGAAAATAGGGTAGTTTCAAATGCCTCCTGGTTGGATTTAAATTCATTATCTTCTGTGTAACTATAGAGCTCTGTAGGAGAGAAAAAGCATCTGATCACAGTCTAATCTTGAAATTAGCTAACCCAGTCCGATTAAAATTAAAGATGATATTGAATAGACGAAGTTCTAGCCTGATTTCTAGTCTCTACATTTTTAGTTCACGCATCTTACATAAATGTAACTCGTTTCGACTCTACTCTACCTGAGAAAATCGAATCGAACGTAATCTATTAACTGTTCGTAGTAAAGCAATCACATAAATCAACAAAATATTTAATTTTTGACGACCTTGATAGCACAACTCTCATAAAGCATATTTTTGATGTTGTTGGTAATAATAGAGTATCTCTGTGAAGTAAGTCAGTTCTTCGATAGAGAAAACAACGACAAAAACAATACATTGTCATTGGGAAAACAGATTTGTTTCACAATAGTATGGGGCTGTGCGGAAATTTTACCAAATATTGCCTAAGAGCTGTTTAAACTCATAACCACGATCGTGCGCGAGTATATTACAACTCACCGGCGATTTCGGCCGATTTTCTGTCAGCATCGTCGTAGGTAAATTCAACATCGGGCGTGGAATCTAGCTGGCCCTATCGTGAAATGAAAACATTTTAGAGAAGGAAAGACAACTTGGATATCTATCTGCTTCTCATATACCTCTGATTCTCGTCTCTGCCGTCGCAAAAGATCTCTCAGTTTAGGAATTCCTCTCTGTTTACGATCAATACTACCCTCCATCTTGGAAATCAATCATTGTGCTGAGGAACCACGCTTTTACATATTAAGTCCCAATCCCTACCGTCAAATTTTCGCAGAATAACCAACTTGAGATGTGTGACATGGCAGGCACACCAGGACAAATGAAAGCAGTTGAGCGTCTCATCGACCTCCCTGGAAACGGTGAAAATTGGGCTTTGCTGAAAGACAACCCCTTCTGAAGAAGAGCATAACATTTCTAGTTCAAAATGTTAACTGCAGCTTATAAATACCTGACATTCAGAATACATCTATATATATGACATGAATGAAAGAACCAGTGAAGAATAAAACGCATAAACAGATGAAAGGATGAAAAACTGAACAAAAGAACAAATGAACGGGTGAATGAATAAATGGATAAAGGAATGAAAAAGTGAACAAGTGAAGGAATAAACGGACGAAATAATGAACGAGTGAGCAAATAAATAAAAGCGATAACTTTCTAAAGAAATTGTAGTCGATAAGGAGTATTACAAGACGATTTAGTTTTATCAACTAAGTTGATAATGTCAATTGTCCACCGTAGAGAGTTTCTAAAGCTGGAGTTTCGAGCGTTAACCCTCCATCAGGGCGAATGAAAAAATGAATGGGCAGATATCCTATTTTATTCAAAACTGGATCAGGATGGATAATGCAATTCGAGAGTTTTCACTGGCCTAGACGTCATGGGCTATGAACTATTATGCTATGCGCGCGCATTAAGACGATTTAAACGGGAAGTGTTTTTGTACATTGTAACATTCCGTTTGTCCTTACAAATAACGTTTGGGAGATTTATGTATATTTTGGGGCGTTTTTCATTAAACAATTACTCCACTCGCGCTTGTTGGATATGAGATGATTATCGCTAACTCGGAATTTCGGGCCTCGTTCGCCCAACGCGCGTTCGGGGAATGTTCTTGTCGCAACCTGGAGCTGTGTGAAAAGAGAAATGGTTGGCGGGTGTGACCGCTTGTCACAAGGACTCTCTAAAAATCATCTGAGTCGTAAAGTTGTAGTTTATTAGTAAAAATTGGAAACTTAAATTCCGGTATCAACAGTTTGCATGACGTATGTTGCTTTTGGGACTAATATCTGATGCCCCCCTGAGACTACAACCCTCATATGCATTGACGTGGCCCTCTGACGAGGGTAGCGGGAAGTCTTTGTGATATTATTGCTTCCACCACGTTTTGAGTTATTTCTAAACCTAGTCTGACTAAGGTAGAGAACATTTTGATTAATTATCGAAGGACCAAAGCCGTTGAAGAAATGACATCGACCAAACAGAAAAAAACGAAAATATAACAAGAGGCTTATCAGATCTCGAAGTAAAAGCAAGCGAACTAGTTGAAGCGCTGAAAAATGCAAGTGACTTACATGTGATGGATTTAAGTTCTGCATCTGATTGGCTGATGCGATGGCGCGAGTTATTTTAGACCAATTAGAAAGAGTGGAGTGTCCCAACCACAAGTTAAAGGTCACGGAATTTAAATTACTCTGTACACACAAAGGAATCATTGGATTGTATTACCAAAATAGAAACACACCAAAGAGTTAAGATTAGTTTATAGAGGCAGACGGAGTAGAGTGACATAAATTGTAAACAACGAACCTAAAATGCTTTTAGTTCAAATTTTTAGGTCGCCAAAACCGAGATTTACTAATATTTTTTATTACGTGACCCGCACACAGCTACAAAAAAAAACAACACGGAAAATTTAGCCTACTGCCTGACAATTGCGTCTTAAACGTAATCATGCGTAATGTTAAAACAATGGATATAAGATCCATTATCCTTTAACTTCAGGTCAAACATTCTTGGCACGATGATATTTTGGTTGTTTTTATATCTAAATTTTGCGAGGGTCAATGCTACAGACATTTTGAAAAGCTTACATTTCAGTGAGTCAAGTTGTCAAAATGTTTCTCTGTACTGTGTATTCATTTATTTGCTCGTCTGTTTGTTTACATTATAACGTGGCTCTCAAACAGAAACCGTTTAATTAAAATTGCGCTTTGTCATCTTTGCTTTTCGCATAATATTAATTGTCATAGTTGACTCACAAACTAATGCGACCCAAACAATAACAATATTTCAAAAAAGCCGTGTGATCTTCGAGTCGAAGATAGCTTATCTTTTGATATTTTATTTACTAGAGTGTAACCTGTTCCATGGGCAAAGTTGGTAAAACGAAGCGTTATGGCAAACGGCTCGATAGTAGTAAATGAGGGAAAGACTAGGGAAGAAGCTGGGCCTAATCGCATCGTGCCTTCCCTTGCTTTTTTCAATTTCGCCATTCAATATCTCGCTCCGTTTTACAAACTTAATCCTTCGAACACGCTACTAAAATCATGATTTATTGTCATTTTTGTTTCACTGATAACGGTATAGCTTAAATGTGTTTTCTCTCAACAAAAGTTCTTATGTCTTCCGCTAAGTTACTCTCCTGGGTGATAAGAGCTGATAAAAATAGGGGTACTCGTTCTAAAACACTTGTCGCTTTTGTCTCTCACTTTTACTGATAAGATGTCATCAGAGATGATATTGCTCTTTGTTTTTCTCATAACATATCAGTTTTAATCGGCAGCGGATAATTATAACTGAATATGCTTACGTGCAAACTTTTCTGATCTTTAGAAAATGAATGGGACTTAAACAATGAGATGTTGCTTGATGAATTGCATCCTACGTAAAACTGAATGTCATTGCCATTTCAAGGGAAATAATTAATCAGTGTAAATTTAGTAATAATTTCACCGAACTGCCTTCTTTAGGAGCTCGTTAAATAGTTTAGAGGTGGAGTAAACCTTAACATTCATCCCTGATAAGATTGAAAGATTTCGGCGGTTTCGGTACTGATCGACTCGAACTGGCTTATCCATGGCTTTTGTGTCTTCTTCTCTTGTTCAGCTAACCATAAAACCAAACATTTTGTATTTCAGTTTGTTTTTAATAGGTTTTATTTGCGTCAGTATACATTTGGCTTCCCCTGCACAGATGTCATATCACTGCGATATCATAGCTATAGGAATATTGTTATTTGTTTATCTATGATAAACAACGGCTCAACAATTTCGTTCAGCCGTCATTTATGCGGCGAAATTTTTTATGCCGTTACAGGGTCTCTCGAGTTCTTTAGTAATCTATGAAGCAAAATCCCGTTGAGAGCATCAACATGATGGATAAAACGTAATTTTCTTATTCAGAATCCATACAAAAATAGTTTTTTTACTGAAATAGTTCTACGCAAAATGACAGTTTATTATGAATTGTTTGAATGAGGCTATTAGTTGTGCTGTTTATAATAGTGATATTGGTGAAATGGTTTTGGGTTAAATTACGTAACACTGACCGTAAAAGGATTCCTTGCACTCATTGATATTGTTAGAAAGCGTGTTGGTCAAAGATTTCGGAAATCGTTTAAGGTGCTATAAGGCTTGCTTAATTTAGCCTGAAACAAACTTGCTGAATCAAACAGGAAAAGTTGTCAAGTGAGAGAATTTTGGCAAAGAGTTTAAGAATTAAGCACAAATAAACATTGAAAATACTAATGTATTTAAAATTCTTTCTCATGACCCCTTGCTTTCAGAATGAATTGACGAATTGTTCAGTTATCTTTTGTGTCAAGGACCTCGCAGTTAACCAGACTACAATAATTAATATTCGTGAATTACAAAAATGAGGTCAAAAAATCAGATGGAAGAAAAAGATAGCTTCGCTTTCAAATCACTGACACTGGGCAAAATCATTTGGCATACACTAAAAATGACAGAGAAAAGCGGTGTAGAGAGTCTCGGATGGCGTGTTTGATTTGGAAAGATTCCCGTGTCATTGAGGAGGAGGTCACGTTTTTGAGAGTTCCGGGCCTGTGGGCAAGCAAATTGTTGCACGGTACTCCTTTATTCCACAAATAAAATAGAGAAGTTTAGAAGATTAAATAAGTAAAGTGAGTCAAATTCTTGTATCTGTTATACTGGTGAAGAGTTAAGAAAATTTGACGTTTCAAACCAGGAAAAAATAACAAATTTTCAATACACCTGTGAGCTGGCAGTAACCAAGTGTGACGATCATGTCCATAAATGGTTATAATGACCTTATTTGGTTGATTAGTCGATAGTTATAAACTTCGTACTCCTTCTCCTTCGCCAGTAGTGAATGCAGTGACATTCCTGAGGAACCCACCGACTAAGTTTGGATAAAGTGATCTCTCTCAGTTTACGAGGCTTGTTCTGCAATCCGTTTGAGGTTTTTCTACGATGGAGCTTGCTAAGAAGTGTCCATTTTTGGCTCGTGTTCCCTCATCTTTCGTTCGCAAGGCGAGAGGCCCAGTGCTCGTTTCTTACGCCGAGCGTTGCCCCGTGATGTCGGAGGTTTTGAACAAAACCGACGAAATTCCCGATAAGAACGAAGGTAAACCTACATTATTTGTGTTGTTGTACTTTTTTTTAATTTGATTTAACGTTTAAACAATGATGCCGAGCGATCGAAGTTATTTTCAAGCTCATGTAGTATTGTCAAGTTGCATAACATGTCAGCTGAATTAAAACTTCCTTTCATCACAGGAGCTAAGACCCACGGAGCCGCAACATCAGCTAAAGGTTTGTATTCAATCTCAACTTTTCTGGCATTAAGTCTTTCAAACGAGAAGGAAAATTTCTTTGTCGACCTTAACTATTGGGAGACCTTCTCATCTCTTCGTGTTGTGTTTGTGTGATTTGTGCGTGGTAAGCTGAAGTCGCAATTTTATTGTACAATTCACTTGGTATACGACATCAGTAAGATCCCACGTTATTTGTTTTTAATTTAAGCTTCTGTAATGAGTAGGAATGCCATTGAAAACCTGTGTATTTCCAATATTTGGGCTTTTTTGTGATTTGAAGTGTCTCTGGCAATTTGAAACATTTCCAATCCGGCTTCTGTACGGTTCTGTTTGTCTGCGTGTCATCGTCCCATGACAAGGCGGAAAATTAATCTTCCTTGACGGCAACAACATTTGCATTTACGCATTTTTCTTTTGTTTGGCATATTCTGTGGGACATGGTTGATTAGAGACATTCTTGTCGGCGAATGCTTTCCAAATCACTTTTTCCGTTTTCCGAGTTTGTTGTTCGTCACGCAGTCGATCTTGTTTTTCTATATTTCAATCGGTTACTAGATTTCGCCACCTCGTTTTCTAAAAGTGTCGCGGAAAGATATAAACATTGACAAAAATTGCTGACTCACTTACAACGGAACTTAGATTAAAACCTGATTACAAAGGAGGTCATTAACAATTTCGGCTTTAAAAAATGAATATTTGGAAAGGATGTATCGATATTGTTCAGTTAACTCGACATCGACTCCGTTCAAAACAGCGTAGCAACAAATGATCTAAAAATATTTGTATCACGCATCATTTTTAAGAGTGATTGAAATTTATTCTCGCAATTCTTGAAATTTGGTCTTGAAGTGAATTTAAAAAAAAAAACTATTAGCAAGTTGAGCTGTTAATAAACTTCAGGAAACGGATGTACATCAAGAGATGATATTGGACGGTTGCCTTGACAATGACTCTGCAGCTCTTAATTACCTATTTGGGAATGAGGTGAACTCTAAATGTAATCGCTAGCAATCCTCTGCTCAAAAATGGATATTTCAAAGATATAAACAAGTTTCCAAGACAAATGAACATGATAATGTGTCACAAAGTGACACAAAGTAATTTTTCAAAATTGCAAATGCATTTGTTGATATGTCAAAGGTTACATAGCCTAAATTATTGGGATAGGCCCAGGATATTGGACTTTGCAGTATGAAACACTGGTAACATGTGAATGTCCTACATGTGGAAGTAGTATGATTGCTTGTAGATTTGCATTTGGGTCAGTCTCCTTGCTCCCCATATAACTTACTAGCAAGTGTTACCATGGCTGAATATTTAAAATTTTATTTAATTTACATGTACCTTCTAATAACTTAGACTTACGTGTTTCAAAAATAAAGGTAATATCTTCAAACCCACGCCAGTTTTAAAGAAGAATGTATTTGCATAATAAGTAAATAAACTTTCAAAATATCACGTTCTCTGTTAGATGTGATCTTCTTGGCAACCCTTAGACAGCAAGCAGCTTTACTGGGAGATCCTTTTTCAACTTAACTTTGTTAACATTTGCATTTGAGTGAGATATTTTTTAGAAGGTAGATGGGCCATTATCTCATAATTAAACATAAAAAAAAGAAAAAAGTCCTGGGTTGAAACCACAGCAAAGCTACAAAGTAGGAGCACAAAAGCGCAAATCTTAAGAATGTTCTGACATGCCAGGAGTTCAAGAATGTTTCTGATATTTTTTACTTTTTTTTCATATCTTTTTGCCTGGGAACCAAGAGATGTTTACTAAGAATGCTAAACTTAAAAGTAAAGGGCTAACCTCATCTGTTTTCCTTCTTTTGAATTGTATTTTCAGCTGGTAAATGTCCAGTTATGCACAATGCCACTGAGGTAAACAATAATGAACTTGTTACCTGCGCCTGTGATTATCAAGAAGGAACTGGGAAGAAGGATACAACCTTGGAGTCAGGTATTGAAAACAAAAACTTGTGTAGTTGCTTGAGCAATTTGTGATTGCTGTTGTATAAGGTTTTTTTTTTACGTATAAGAAAAAACGTTATCATTTACTGGACTTGTAGAATTAAAGGCTTGAGTTTTTTTAATTTCTTGTGCCTCTAGGATTTTTATTAACCCTTGAACTTCTAAGATCTAACTATTAATTCTCCCCTCCAGCTGTTCCACATTTCCTTGTAAATTAGCAATGAGAATTTAGAGCAAGATAACAACATCTAAGTGATAAGTTTGAGTATCCATCAGATACTATATGGATTTTATAGGTCTGGAAAAAGTTACATGTGAATCCCTTCTGGGAATCAAAGAGTTAAGGGCCAGCTATCATTAGGCTGCTGCTACATACAAGTTGTCTTTCCACAATCTGATGATGCTTTATTTGGAAGAATTTATGGACTCTTTCATGGTCTTAGTCTGTGTGAACAGTTTTCACCTAAAAAAGCAAATTTTCTCTACCATATCAGAAATACATGATTTCTAGCAATTAAAAACTCTTCATTACAAAATTTAAAAGCATATCTTAAATTAACCTGTGCCATCAGTTGAAAATTTTGTCCAATATAGTTCTGTTTTAACTGAAAATAAGAAGCCAGCAGTGAATAAAAGAAAGTAAAGAATAAAAAGCCAGCAGTCATGTTAAAACAGACTTGTAACAGATAATTATCTTTTCTTTCAGCTGGAAAGTGTCCTTTCTCAAGTGGCAAGTTAGTTGTGGATGCTGTGCAAAAAATTCACCCTACCCCTGCAATGAAGGTGGGAAATGTTTTTGCCCAGGCCACTGGAGTGCGTCAACTGGTCACCATGCCCCTTGCTGTTCAAGGTAATTTGTAAACATGTCTGGAGTGCATCTACAGTCAAAGTTTCTTTTTCAAAGGTTAACCCTTTAAATCCTATGAGTGACTAAGACAGAATTTCTCCTTACAATATCAATACAGTATCAACTAGATTAGTGATGAGAATAAAGAAAAATATCAATTTGGGGATAATAAGTTGATCCGATACAAATTCTCTGAACTAACGTTATAAAAATTGTATGGTTGACAGTAAGGAGAATTACGAATTTGATCTGGGAGTTAAAGGGTAAATTGAATATTGTTGCAATCTTGTACCTCCTCTGTATACTTACCTACTGGTTTGTGTTTTTAATTTTTCAGGTCCTGCACCCAGCATTGAGGCCTTTCAGTCTCACTTTGATTATGACCGATTCTTTTTGGATGAGATTGAGAAGAAAAAGATGGACAACACCTACCGTATTTTCAAGAGGGTGAACCGCCTGGCTGAGACTTTTCCACATGCCAAGGATTACAGTGATTCTTTGGCTGGAAAAGATGTGTCAGTTTGGTGCAGTAATGATTATCTGGGGATGAGCCGACACCCAGAAGTGCTGAAGACTGCAAGGTAAGGGAAGTGAGATGCTGTATTGAGGGTGAAATGCTAGTGCCTTCCATTTATTAAGAAGGCATTGCAAGAAACAGGCTGTTACAAACATGTCACCTCTGTTTGAGCCAAGTTCAACTTTTACAATAGGGGAACTTTTTTGTTTTTCCAGGGAGACTATTGACAAGCATGGAGTTGGTGCTGGAGGTACTAGAAACATCTCTGGCACAAGCAGTTATCATGAAACCTTGGAGAAGAAACTGGCAGAAATACATAAGAAGGAAGCAGCACTGCTCTTTACTTCTTGTTATGTAGCCAATGACACTACTCTGTTCACTCTGGCTCGTCAATTACCAGGTGAAGACATGTCCCAAGTTTAATAGTGGAAAAGATTTAAAAGTAGTGTGATTCTCACTAGTTTATAACTGATTGGGCTGTGTGCTGCAATCACCATTTTTGTTTGCTCTTAACTCAGTTTTTTCACATTTAACAAATATTTTTTTAATACAAATGTTTCAATATTTGCAAAATGAGTACTGGTATGTTACCAATACTTTTCTACCTGCCACCCTTTCATACTGGGACTGTTTTGGGGGACTATTGTTTTAAAAGTAGGCAGACTTACCTGGTTAGGAAAAAAATTGTCAAATTCAAAATTTATCATTCCAATAAGTTATTAGACTGTTATTGTAGTGTTGATTTCTTCCCAAGTTTCTTCAAGTTGTGGTGAAGAGCGTGTTACCCACAAAATATGCAGATTTACAAAGAAATGTTCATTCTTTTTCCCCTCGACATAAACTTACTACTGTGATACCATTGTTGTGGAAACATTTTTAATAGTGTTGGACTACTATTCCTGTTGCAGGCTGCCTGATTTTTTCTGATTCTGGTAACCATGCCTCCATGATCCAGGGCATTCGCAACAGTGGAGCAAAGAAGTTTATCTTCCGTCATAATGATGTAGAGCATCTGGAGCAGCTTCTGGAGCAAGCAGACCCTGAGGTGCCAAAGATTGTGGCATTTGAGACTGTGCATTCCATGACGGGGGACGTATGTCCATTAGAAGAGCTGTGTGATGTAGCACACAAGTATGGGGCTCTGACCTTTGTGGATGAGGTAAGTAGACTGGGATTGATGTCGAACCTTTCAATCTGACAGCTTACTAGGAGTGCTTCTTTAAACTGCCTTTTGTTGATCCTGTCATATTTTTGTAACCTGTCAGTTTGACAGTCTATGGAGATTGTGAGGGAGATTGTTTTATCAACCCTTGCCGATACGTCAGCTTATAAGTAGTATACGATTATTTCTGGTCTGCAGTTTTGATTGAGAAGTATGTCAGTCTCCAAACCAACATTGTTGGCACATTAAGTTATAGCTAGTAACAGCCCTAATGACACGGTCAAAATCATATTAGAGAGTCAAATAGTATTGCAGCCTGTAAAGGAGTGTTTAATTTAAGGATGATTAGAACTGTTGTTTTTATATTTGTGTATATTTTTCTTACACCTTAATTAGTGGGACATACCTTGCATGGTGTGTCAGCACTTTTGGTTTTCTCCTTCTCCACAAGTCTTCGTTATTGTAGTGATAAATTTAATTTAATTTATTGTCTATTTGTAATGTAGTGGAGTGAATCTGTAATAAATAACAGTAACCTGTTCAGGACCGCAACGTGGCCATTAATTCTAGCGTCCATCTCTAAACCATTGCGTTGCTTATAAAGATTATTGTAGCACTGATGAATTGTTTTCAATCAACAGGTTCATGCAGTGGGTATGTACGGTGACAACGGTGCAGGCATTGGCGACCGAGACAACATCATGCACAAGATGGACATTATCACTGGTACCCTTGGCAAGGCCTTTGGATCCATTGGAGGGTACATTGCTGCATCAGCTGCCCTTGTTGACAACGTGCGCAGCTATGGCTCCGGTTTTATCTTCACCACCTCCCTTCCTCCTGTCACTGTGAACTCTGCTATTACATCTGTCAGTATTCTGGCCAGTGATGAAGGACGTAGTTTGCGTGAAAAGCATCAGAATGCTGTGCGCACCTTGCGAAACAAGTTGGTGAAAGCTGGTCTTCCTGTGGTGTATGCTCCGAGTCAGATTATACCGGTGCATGTAAGTGTCTGTAATTCATGTTTTGTCGAGAAAAACCGAATTTTAAAGGGACAGTTATTTGAATGAAATCTAACTAAGTATAGGCTTCAGACAATTTACGGACCATTATTTTTTTTTTTACAAGTGAGTGTTAATCCTTGTGTCGCAATGGCAACAACATTTTAGACTTTTTGAAAATGTTCCTATAAATCAACTTTGTAACGAATGCATTTGACTAAATTGGATAAGCCATAAAACGCGGCGAGGATTAAATTTATATTTGGTTCATCCGCAGGTTGGTGATGCAGCCAAGTGCACAGCCATCTCCAACGAAATGCTGACCAAATATGGCATGTATGTCCAGTCTATCAACTACCCAACAGTTGAACGCGGCAAGGAGAGGTTGCGTATCGCTCCCACTCCTGAACACAACGAAGCCATGATGGACAAGTTCACCGAAGCTCTGGTCAAGGCCTGGAAGGACAACGGAATGCGTTTTCTGACCCCCCATTGCACCACTGCATGCGACTGTCAGGAGCGCTGCATCACCTACAAAGAGCTGGATTGCAACAAGTATGCTTCCCAGGTTGGCGCCTAGAATGCCGGCCAATATTGCTCTCCGAATCGACTTTTCCAGTGGGCGTGTTAAGCTCTCAAAGTGGAACTATATTTAAGAATTGTTAAATGTAATTTTCTGGAGAAATCTGAAATAATCATACAGTGAAATCATCACGTTCTTGTGTCTGTGTGTTGGTTGTTTACTTTGTTCCATCTTGGTTGAGTTTCCTTTTTGTTTATGTCCCCGTGTTTTCACTGATTTTCTGGTAAGACTTAAAACTTGTGTTTCTTTGTGCTCAGTGTTTTCAATTCTGAACCAAATCTTTGGAGTTCTATTGGTTTCGAGTCATGACACCTTTATCTACTCAGAGATGCTGCCCTTATGCCTTTTGAAACCAATAATGTCTGTTGTGTCTTATGTGAGCCTTTTACAGGCTCACATATGTGAGCCTTTTTTATTGGTTTCGAGTCATGACACCTTTATCTACTCAGAGATGCTGCCCTTATGCCTTTTGAAACCAATAATGTCTGTTATGTCTTATGTGAGCCTTTTTCTGTTGGTGACTGCCTTTATGCCGGTACAGAGAGTGCCACTGTCTTGCTTTGACGCAAGGTATCCCGAGATACTACCAGTTGTCGCCTTTGAAACCAATACTGACCAATGTAGGATCTACTTGACTTGTTATTTTCAAGGAACTGTGACTGCCCTTATGCCAAGACTGTGTTAAAACAGTGAGTTTTCTTGCTGTTATGGACTGCAATGCTGGTTGCTGAAAACATCCTGTTCGGAGGCCGTCAGTGCATCTTGCGCTCTGAAGAGATGATTGCGCTTATGCCAAAGCACTTGACAATGAACCACAAAGCTGGTTCTACATATGAAGAAAGAGCCCTTATGCCAATTGGTCAACGACGCTCAAGAACTTTAGACTGTGGCCAACTTGTGCGAAACGTGGTCCTTAACGTGCCAACTAAAGGGAATTGAAAAGTTCAGTTTAGTAACGCTGTTATTAGATTAGATAATGGGGTGACTGCCTTTTATGCCAAAGCCGTTTCGGCTACGTAGAGAGTGGACAAATAATTTAATGACACTGCTGTGACCCTACAGCTACGAAATGGAACTCTGAGGTATAGATAAATCGATTCGCGGGGAGTAAGTTATGTAAAATTGGAAGAGTTTTTCAGGACAACGAGCGAACGATGTTGGTTTTCGGATTTCCATTTAGTATCTGTAATGACCCTTTTCATTCTTGAAGCGGTTCATAGAGCGCAGAAGTCGAAGGAGATAAATCTGAAAAGACAATTCTAGCGGACTGGCGATTTGAAAACAAAGATATCGGGACATGACAGTGGGACGCCTTGCCTGTGTTCCCTTATTCCTTTCTTTACGTATTTTTTTACTTTGTAAACTTTATTAATAGCACAGCTACGAAATGGAACCTCCGGGTTTAGTTGAATCGATTCGCAGGGAGAAAGTAGAGTAAAAAAGGGGGAAGTTTTTCAGGAATAACGTGCGAACGATGAAGGGTTACGGTTTCCACTTAGTACCTGTGTTGCCTCTTGCCAATTTACAATTAGCTTAAGAAGATTTACACGTCTAGGGAGCTACATTCGGAGTAGCAATTTAGCGGATTTGTCGTTAGTGAGAAAAAAGAAACCGGATTTGTCCTTGGTTAAAAATCGGTGTTGGGTTTTTGTAGCTAGTGGTAAGTTTTAGTCTTCTTTTGAGTGAAACTCGAGATTCAAACTTACCAATTAAAATGTATTACTTTCATAACCAAAAGTGTTCTTGATGCATTACTTTCTAGTTCTAAACAACGTCGCACTTTTGATAACTTATTCGTCATGACTAAAAAGCTCCACAAGTCCTTTACCATCTCTCTTCCCAGCTATAGGTTGCACTCCCGCTCAACACATTTGTGGCCTCGGGAAGAATCATGTGGCTACTGATAAAGGGCAATTTTTAAAGCATCGAAAGGAACTAGGGGTTTTATAATGACGCTAGCAGGTAGTGTTGCCCAAGATTTGTATTCGCATGCAAACGGTAAATCTGCCACACCCCACATATCCTACACACCCGCCGCCTGTTAAGCTCATTTTCTGTGTAGGGCGCCAGACCACCTTTCGGGAGGTCGAGGGTTAAAGCCGTAGTCCGGGTTAACACTCAGGGTCTTAAAATAACTAAGGAGAATGTGCTGCCTTAGCTATGACATCTGCAGATGGTTGAACATTCTTGTCTCCTCAGATAAGGTCGAAAAACCGAAGGCCCTGTCCCGTGCATGTCCTCTGCGCTGCATAGCAGGGGACGTCGAACAACCCACACACTTCTCGGTGATGAGGTCTGACCTTATTTCCAAAAATCATAAATTGGGGGCACCTGCAAAATTCCCTTTCAAAAAGTTGTAAACTGCTCAATGCAGTCCGACTAAAGTCCCCTGAAGAGCGCATTAGAGCATATCTATATGGAGAATGTGCTAAATAAATTCATCATTATCATTATACGTACTATGTTCCACAAGAGAAAGATGATTCAAGAAAATGGTGACTAATTGACATTCAACCAATGATTAAATGGTAACAAATGATGAAAATAACGATAGTAATAAT